AAAACTCCAGAGAACAAACAGATAAACCAAAACATGCAAACACCAAATACCCAGTAAAGAGTGTGGGGGCGGAATCTTATATACAGAAAGTAAGGTTAAGGAATTGGATGAATATGGGGAGGACCTCAGTTCAACATAGAAGTAGATAAAGGGTGAGTGGAAAAGAAAAAAGAGAAAGAGAGGAAAATAATAATAATAATAAAATTTTAAAAATTAATTAAAAAATAAGATTAAATAAAAAAATAGAATGATCAACAAATAATACGAAAAGAAAAAGGAAAATAAAGAAAAAGAAGAAATAGGTATAACAAAATAATAATAAAATAAAATGAAATAAAAATAAAAACGTGAATTGTCATTCCTTTCCACCCATTAAGATCCCACTCTCTGTACTGTCTGCTGCTTCTCAGTTTCCTGTTGCTGGGACTGAAGGCCTCTCTTTAGGCTAGTCCCTGTGGACTCTCAGGGACTATTTAGATTTTTTTTTTGTATCCTTTGTGCCACTCAAGGTGTAGTCTGGGTGTAGTCTTGGTTGCCTGCAGACTGCAGGGAGGGGCTATCTCTTCCGGACAAATTGGCTGCTTAGGTCCTGCACATCAGGTATGACTCATTGCCAGACTCGTGGCCACCGGTCCCCAACCCTCCCCTCTCCCCAGACTCCACAAGTCCTCACCTCTACCTGTACCTCAACCATGGGTGAGTGTCTGTATTTGAAAGGTCCTATGAACTAGGTTCAGTGAACAAAAGCAAAGACCACAAAGAGGAGAAAGAGCTGCGCTTCTGTGAGCCCCTCTCCCGCTGGCACGGCGCGGCCTAGGCAGCCGTCCAGGCTGCCCCCTCTGGGCTCAGTCTCATGTGGTTGTGGACCAAGACCTAGAATCCCCTGCCGCCAGCAGCCCTGTGGACCTACTTTCCACAGTCAGACGCTATGCTTGTCCCAAGGGACGGGGCCTTGGTGCCATGCGGTTTCCCTCTGACCCTCTGGGCTTGGAGGTCTCACAGTTCTCTCCAGCCCAGATCCCTGATTTTACTGTTCTCCAGGCACCCTCTGCCCTTCCTGGCTGCAAATGGTCTCATCAGCTGTGTCTACTTTGCCAATTCAGGATGGATGTTATTCGATTTAGTTGCTCATTCTATCTGCTCAAGGACAAAGCTCAGGACACATCCATTTATTCTGCTGCTATTTTGTCTAAATATTTTTGTTTTATTGTATATCTTGGGCTAATATGCTAATAAATGGAGATCACACATCATACAAATAGTGGTGCAAAAAATGATAATGTCGATCTAAGTGTAGGTTATAATGATTATTCTAAAACATGTTAAGGAAAAAGTATGGTAGTTGATAAAATTGTATTAGATTATGTTGAAGATGTATTGACAAAATATTCTTTCTTTTTCTCGTAGATTTATCTAAAAACAGACTGGTTGAAGTTCCAATGGAATTATGCCACTTTGTATCACTGGAAATTCTTAATCTGTATCATAATTGTATCAGAGTCATTCCTGAGGCCATCGTTAATTTGCAGATGCTGACTTACTTAAACTTGAGGTAGGTTAACTACAAAGGTTGTAGAAAAATTCAAGTAAAAATATGCTTTAATTTATATCAGGTTTTTTTCTCTTTCCAATTGCTGATCACCCTTTGAAGTAAATCACACAAAGATCATTTAAGAACTATCTTCTATAATACATTTGTAGTGTCATTAATACTGTTTTTGGTCCTAGAATTTTCTGAATGTCAATATGACAAGATGTTTTTGCTTTTTAAAAATAATTTATATGGTATTGTTTCTACTTTTTTGCGGGGGCTGACCAGCAGACCCTGAGTGATGGATGAATGTTTACTCTGACACAAGTTTGCTGTGAAAGAGAGAGCTAAGGGATTGCCTGGCTAAAGCAACCAGACAGCCTCAATCGCCTGCCTCTTCAGGCTTTTATTATAACAGCAATTTGAGATAAAGTGTATCTTTTAGCTACAATCAGTAGGGTAAGTAATTTGTGTCTGCTGTGTCCTTTAAGCAAGGGCACCTAAAGATTCTGGTAAACACCCAGGGGCTCAGCTTGTTTGGAAAAGTCATGGCAGGAGCTGCCGCCTTCAGCAAGGTCCATCTAAGGCCCCCGACCTTTTGGAGTTTCCTCCTTACAGACTTTTCAACCAAGTCTCCTGTGCTCCCCCACACTTTTTGTCTCTTTTAAAAATGTTTTTATTGATTTTAGAAAGACAGGAAAGGAGAGGGAGAGAGAGAGAAACATCAATGAGAGAGAAACATCGATTGGCTGCCTCCTGCATGCCCCCCACCGGAAATTGAGCACAACCCAGACATATGTCCTCAAACCGGTGACCTCTTGGTGCATTGGATGACTTTCAACCACTGTGTCACACTGGCTGGGCTACTTTTTGTCTCTTTTCTGCTTGGAAGGTTGTTGGTATATTGTTTTCAGGTACTGATGTAGATTTTGGAGGAGGAAGATGAAAGGAAGTAAAAAGAGAACATGAGCTTTGGAACAAATTGGGGCTTTGATGGTCTTTGGGTGTATTCGTGCCATTGTATTTGCTACCTGGTACTCACTGAGCTTGTTCAATTTAGGTCACCTGAGAAAGTTCAGAAGGAACAGTGAGCAAATCCAGCAAGACAGGAAGTTTGCTGTCTTTATAGACCATTAAATTAGTTCAGTGTTTGCTGAGAATGGATCAGTGGTCTGTATTGATGCTCTAATTATAGACAATACAGTGTAACATATGAATGCCCTTGAATAGCCCTGAAGTTAAGAAAAGCAACCATTTTTAGACTTTGGCTAGATTTTGGCTCCTTGTCTTCTAAATCCTTGACTCACATTTGGGTCATTATGAGAGAGAGGGGAGCTCTTTTATCAAATCTATCTGTATTCTAAAAACAAGGTTCCAAAGTTCAAGCCTGAGCATAGCCTTCACTCCACTGGTGTCAGTTGCATTATCTTCATATGCAAAAGGTAGCACCTGATTAGCAAGGTTTGTGCTATGCAACAAATATGCTAAGCCTTAAAATGCAAAATTCCCAATAAACCAGGTATTGCATTAAATTATGATACATAATGTCAGTTAATTTTTAGTGGGATTTTTTGGGTTCTTTTGGGAGGGGGAGTTGACCACTGGGAATTAGGGGTCTTCTGTTGCTCTGCTCTCTTTGCAGTTCCCTTTGTTGTTGTTTCTTTTCCCATTGACCCCCCTCCACCCCATACCCACCCCTCCCAGGCCTTCACCACACTATTGTCTGTGTCTATGGGCTATGCATATATGCATATAAATTCCCCAGTTAATCTCTCCCCATCCACCCCTACCTTCCCTCTGAAATTCATCAGTCTGTTCCATGCTTCAATGTCTCTGAATCTTATTCAGTAGATTCCACATATGAGTGAGATCATGTGATATTTATCTTTCTCTGACTGGCTTATTTCGCTTAGCATAATGCTCTCCAGGTTCGTCCATGCTGATGCAAATGGTAAGAGTTCCTTCTTTTTAAACACTGCTGCATTGTATTGCATTGTGTAAATGTACTGCAGCTTTTTTATCCACTCATCTGCTGATGGGCACTTGGGCTGTTTCCAAATCTTAGCTATTGTATATTGTGCTGCTATGAACATACAGAAGGTCAAGAGACATATGAAAAAATGCTCAAAGTCACTAATATCCAAAAGATGCAAATTAAAATGACAATGAGGTATCACCTCACACTTGTCAGAATGGCTATCATCAACAAATCTACAAATGACAAGTGTTGGCAAGGATAGGAGAAAAGGGAACCCTGTACGCTGCTGGTGGGAATGCAGACTGGTGCAGTCACTGTGGAAAACAGTATGGAGTTTCCTAAAAAAATTAAAAATGGAACTCCCATTTGACCCAGTAATCCCACTTCTAGGACTATATCCTAAAAAACTGAAACACCAATCTGAAAGGACATTAGCTATTTTTATTAACTCTACCCTGTCTATTTTCCTTGTTTAAAATTTAGTTTAAAAATATAAATTATGAAATATTCCAAATTTATAGAAAATAATGAAATAGGTGCTCAAGTTCCCACCATTCCAGTTTAACAATATGATATTATTTAGTGCTTTTAAAACATACATAAATGTCACACTGAACATAACCATTTGCAATAATTTTGACTTAACAGATATTAATGTCATTTTTTTCAAATCTCCCACCCTTCCATTCACACCATTGGTTCTGGGATCTTTATATTATCACACACACAAAAGGCTTCATTCTACTCTAATAGCAACTTCCCAATAGTTAATTGCTTTTTTAAAAATTTGGAGGTTAGCCCTAACTGGTTTGGCTCAGTGGATAGAGCATCGGCCTGAGGACTGAAGGGTCCCAGGTTCGATTCCAGTCAAGGGCATGTACCTGGGTTGCAGGCGCATCTCCAGTGGGGGGTGTGCAGGAGGCAGCTGATCGATGTTTCTAACTCTCTATCCCTCTCCCTTCCTCTCTGTAAAAAATCAATAAAATATATATATTTTTTAAAAATTTGGAGTTTCTTATCTTGTCATCAGTTTTTGTTTTGTTTTTAAGAATAAACATCTTCATTACAGGAGCTAATATAGGAGGGAAGAGGATTTATTTGACTTTCTGGGCCTTGATTTTCCTCACATAGAACTCCAACTCTTTGCCCTCTAGCACATAACCATCTGCTTGGACATGTTGGCCTGGTCTTGGAGCAATGCTTGTAAGAAGCTTGCCCTGCTGGAACTGCTCCTCTGGAAGACTGCTGATTTTGGCATACTTTTTCCTTTCATCATATTTCTTCTGAATTTTCTCTGATCATTTTTTGTTTAAAATCTCTTCCTCCTCAGGAGTCAGCTTGACCCCCTTCTTGTGGCGCAGGGGCAGTGCTTAGTGGGACTCATACCACTGTAGGTACAGTGTGCTGTCAATGAGCACAATGCAGTTCTTTACTCGGGGGTTGGTATGGACCAGTTCATTATTGGATGCATCGTAGAGAAGATCAATAATCCTTGTTTTGTAAGTACTACTCTTGAGCCCCAGGAGAAGTTTGCCCACATCCAGCCTCAAGGTTTGATACTTCTTGTTACCACCCCACACATGGACTGTGTGTATGGGCAAGGGCCAATCTTAGTGTGGGCAGCAGGGTGTCCCAGGTCATATTTTTGTTTCTTATGGTGGGGCTTTCTCTTGCTCCTGGTCTTATGGTGCTTGTGAAATGGGAAATTTGGACTGGAAACACATGGTGTCTCTCTGGGCAGGATGGTTCCCGGGCTCTTTGTCTGGTGGAGTCAAAGAATGAAACCGCGGACGAAAGATGGTATAGCAAAGGTGGAAGTTTATTGAGAAACAAGCACAGACTCCCATGTGGGGAGGGAAAAGAGTCCCACCAAGTCCCTTTTCCCATGGTTTATAAAGGCTGCAGGGTTTTTTGTGCCTCAGTATCCCTTCTGATTGGTCACTATCCCCCTTTGGTTTGGTCACTATAGCAACTCCTGAACTCAAGTCTCACGTGAAATATGTGAGGTTTCCTCCTTCTCCCTTATTATTCTCCTATTCCCTCTAGTTTGTAAATGTGTACCTTTTGCTACCCCCAGTTCCCTTATCTTATGGAAATGTAACTTCTGCGGCTTCCAGCTCCCTTGTCTTATGGAAATGTACCCTTTGCAGCTCTGTAGCCCTGTGCTTTTTCCATGGACCCTTTAATTCCTAAAATTTTCTAAACCTGCCTATTTTACCTCTAAAAACGCCTTTCACTTGTACCACTTGTCCCAAAAAATGCCCATGATTTGGCACTGGATAGAAAGAGCCTGCCTCCAGTTTTTATTAAACCAACTTTATCAAGGTATAACTTGTACCCAGTCTTTTTTATAGATTATGGATCACTAATTTTTGTATAATCAAATAAAGCTAATTTTACTTTAAAGTAGGAATAAAATTGGCAGGTCTGAGTATAAAAGTGTATCACTATTTAAATGAAGACTTGGTCTCTTCCTCTCACCCTTTCAATGAAATCAAATATCAGATACAGGCAAGATTCTGCCCTTAATCTTACCCATCTTTTTCCTTCCCCAAAGGTAAATGCTATCCTACTTGGTGTGTATTATTCCCAAATATATTTTGTACTTTTTCCACATAGCATGTATGTTTCCATAAATAATATGTGCTATTATTGTTTAGTGCTTTAAAAACAATATTAGTGTCACGTTGTACATAATGTTTTGCAATAATTTCCACTTAACATGTTTTTTTATGCCCCCAAATTTATTTTTTAAATGTCAAAAGCCTATACTATTATTTATTTATTTATATATTTTTAATCATTTATTATTTTTCAATTACAGTTGACATATAATATTATATTAGTTTCAGTTGTACACCCACATAACTTACTAAGTTTTCATCCCAATAAATCTGACCTATCTGACACCATACATAGTTATTAGCTGTAACAACCAGTTTGTACTTCTTTTTTTAAAAAAATATATTTTATTGATTTTTTACAGAGAGGAAGGGAGAGGGATAGAGAGTTAGAAACATCGATGAGAGAGAAACATCGATCA